TGGTCCTTTAGTATGAATTTCTGTCGTTATTGTTGTTTTTTTAAATTGTTTGAAATTTATTTTGTTGTTTTGTGTCTAGACCGTGCAATTCGTAGATGTTTTTTAAAGTTGAAACAGAATGCTGTGTACATGGTATTATTTGAAATTTATTGTTGTTATGTTATTTTATTAAAGCGAGGAGTGCGTAGATTGTAAATTCCTTCCTTGCCTAAATTGTGCAATTCGTAGAATTTTTTTAAAGTTTAAACAGGATGCTGTGTACCTGGTATTCTTTGAAATTTATTGTTGTTATGTTAATTTATTAAAGCGAGGTGTGCGTAGTTTGTAGATTCGTTCGTTGCCTACATTGTGCCATTCGTAGATGTTTTTTTAAGTTAAAACATGTCACCGTGTACATGGATTCTTGTCAAATATTTTTGGTTAGAAACTTTACGTTTTTGCTATCTAAATTTTTTGTTTTTCTTTCGAATTTTTAGCTAAATTGTATGTTGAAAACATAGTTTTTACATGTGCGAAAACCGCGTTTTTGGAGACATTTTAGGCTAAAAGTTCGAAATGTAGACAAAAATTTAGATAGTAATATGGCAGCGTGAAGTTTCTCGCCAAAAATATTTGGCGCGAAATTTGGCGACTCGAGGGCGCATATCAGAGTAGTTCCGAAATTTGCTGTCATATTACATAAAATAGCAATGAAACCATAATTAAAACTTAGCACATAGTTAAATTACTTTAGGAGAGATATGACAAGCACACAGACCAAAATTTAAAAGTGGAACATTAAAAGATGAAGAAAACTGACCATTGAAGTAAATGAAACTTCCATTAAGTAGAAAATTCGTTTTTGACAGATTCAAAAATAAATTGCTTGCATATCTTTGCACCTTTGAAATGAAAAATTGAAAAAAAAAAAGAACAGAGCAAGAAAAACTTAGCATAACCTTACATGTTCACTTCGACGCAAAAATGCAACATGAATTTTGAACACTTTACAAGATGTCAACATTTTGCAAATTTGACGAAAAAAATTAGATGTATAATTTTTCATTTGCAGTTTCAGAAAAGATATTTATTCATAAAAAAAAGCAAAAAAAGAAAGACAAAGAAAACATTAAAACATCAGAGATTAATTCTTTATACTCCAGGTTCCAAATTAAGTTAATTGCAATAAACTTACACTTGAGAGTATTTATTAATATTCTGCTCTCAAGAGGTGACTATTGATCAGAACTGGGTTTGATGTGATAATTCAAGCAGTAGCAATGTTTAAGTTCAGTTTAGGAAATATTGCTAAATGAGTGCATTCAACAATATATGTGTGGTTAGAGTAAAATTAAAAGGTGCCCCTTGTGTCATTGTGAAGTTTTTGTTTCACTTATCAACAAATTGCTGTTTAATTTATGGTAACCTGAGTAGCTGAATGTTATGTAAACCCTATTATGACCTAATTGCGGTGAATTTGAATGATGGAAAAAGATTTGTAAGAGCTTATGATGCGTGTTGGTTAGGAAGCACATTGCTGCTTTGTGGTTTAGATGGTAAAATGGCTTAATGTGGTAAGGTTACTTTGAAGTTTCTGTACGGTTTGGAACGAAAGGGGAAAAAAGCATTAATTGACTGGTGTGTAAATGAACGTTTACTTAGTAGCCATCATAAGTTTTCTGTTTGTTGGAAGGAAATGTGTATGGTCGAACGTCAGAGGATACTAGCACTACAGAGGATATTTTTTACTTTTGTGAATTTATGTGCCGATGCCAGTATACAGATTCTTTTTGCGGTTTTGCAGCTGAGGATGGTGGTTCGGTAAAACCATCGAAACTAGTTCTGTGAAAATTTTGTAAATATAACGCTGATTTTTGTTGTTTGACTTCTGAATTAATACAGATTCTAGTTCAGATAATTTTAGGCAGTTTTTTTTTAATGCTGTTAAGGAATTTTGTTTGACTGAAGATGGGGAAATTTCTAAATAGTGGATATTTCCTTTGTGTAGTGCTAAGATGAATTTCCTTTTTTCATGTTATTTGGGTTGATCTTTACAATATGGTAACTGGTAGTTTAGCGACATTTTGGAGGCGATAAAGGTTACTACCTGGGACTTTGGTAATAATGTGAGCAGTACTCAGTTCCGATTACGCATTATTTTGTGTGAGGGAAATGAGAGATCATGGGATATGTCATGTGATATTAATGGACGAATTACGGTTCTTTAATCAGAAAAGGGGAGAAATCAGGAAAAAATCTGGAAATTTTTTTGCGTTTAGCATTTGTATTTAGCTTCATATTGTGTTGTGTGAAACAAGTGTTCGATTGAATTTTTGGATCCCATGGCCGTAACTAAAGTGAATTCGAAATGGGTATTTATGTATGTATTAATTTAATGTATGCGCTCATTTATATTTTAAGTAGTGTTTTCTGAATTTAATTATATTTTAATTAAATGATAGTTATTTTGTGAATTTTATGTTTGTAGGAATTTGGTATACGGTTTAGTTGAAGTAAACGTGCATGGAAATAATTTAAATATTTTTGATACTAAGTATTTGTAATGCTTGCGGTATGAATTCGTTGGTGACGTGTATACTGTAATAGATGATTTAGAGGTAAAAGTTTTGGATATTTTATTTACTTTATATGTGGAAATGTTCATATTTGGAAAGGGTAAATACTTTTTCGCGATCAGGTAATTTCATATATGTTCTTTTTACTGGGTTTAAAGATTGAGAAAATTGTCATTTTCGTGAAATTTTTCTAATTTATGAGAAAAAAGCAGTGTACATGGATATAGTGAAGAGTGTGCGCAATGCCATTTTTGTGCAATTCTGGGATGTTTTTTTAAGTAAAAATAAGTCGACGTGTACATGGTTTAGTGATATTTTAATTAAATGATAGTTATTTTGTGAATTTTATGTTTGCAGGAATTTGGTACACGTTTAAGTTGAAGTAAACGTGCATGGAAATAATTTAAATATTTGATACTAAGTATTTGTAATGCTTGCGGTATGAATTCGTTGGTGACATGTATAATGTAATAGATGATTTAGAGGTAAAAGTTTTTAGATATTTTATTTATTTTATATGTGGAAATGTTCATATTTGGAAAGGGTAAATACTTTTTCGCGATCAGGTAATTTCACATATGTTCTTTTTACCGGGTTTAAAGATTGAGAAAATTGTCATGTGTTTTCATGAAATTTTTCTAATTTATGAGAAAAAAGCAGCGTACATGGATATAGTAAAGAGTGTGCGCAATGCCATTTTTGTGCAATTCTGGGATGTTTTTTTAAGTAAAAATAAGTCGGCGTGTACATGGTTTATGTGTATGTGTTATTTTGAAAAACGCGTAAGGAGTATGGTATTGTGTACTTTTTCCGAATTTTTGCAGTGAATATTTGTCATGATTAAGCAGTTTTGTTAGATAAAATTTCTAGCATAAGTGTAATTCGGCCAGTAGATTGTTGGAAGAAGTGTTCAATAGATAAAAAGAAAAGAAACATGTCTTTACTTCGTGAAGACAAAATGGCGGCGGGAAAAAAAATAGAGGGTTGCTGTAGGAGAGTTGGTCGCCAAAAAAACGCCAAGTTACCATAATGTAAAGATCAACCGTTATTTGATTGTTTGATTTAAAATGTAGTTTATTCAGATTATATATTTTTTGTTGGCTGCTCCTTTGATGTTTTAAGTGAAAATAGATTAATGCGTACATGGACAAAGTCAAGGGAGTGCGCAATGCCAAGTTTGTGCAATTCTCTGATGTTTTTTAAGTGAAAATAGGTTGACATCTACATGAACTTTGTGTAAGTTTGGTGCAAAAATTGCTGCTATACAAAGCCAAAATAACAAGTCAAAGAATTGCACAAACTCGGTATCAATGTACCGTCAAAAATCGCCAATTTTCGCGAAGGGGCACCTATAAATATGTTTTTACCTTCATGTATATACAACAATTGTCAGCGTTTAATTTTTTTTTTTTTTTTTTTTTATTTAAGATTTATTATTACACGTTTCTTTGATTTTAGTTTGAACACAATATTCATGACGACAGGAATTTATTTTCAATGTTATGGAGCCGAATAAGCATGGACTACGATGAAGGAATCAAATCAAGTGAAGATGAGTTTCATTTTTTATTGATGAAGTATGAAATTATGTCTGCGCATAGACTGTTGATACAGAGAAGAAACGTAATGATGATAATAGTGATAAAGTTAAGAAATGTAAAAAGGGGGAAAGTCAGGGTAATAGATAGTGAATGTGAAAATAACAGTGATGGTTTCACAGAGACAGAAAATTCAGATTGGATAAAATATGCAGAATCCACACAAATATCATACAGAATACTGTTTGTATCAGGCGAAAGAGCTGCAAGACCACATATATCTTCAGACATAAAAGAAACATTAGATTTCTTAAAATTGCATGTGAAATCATTTTAAGTTAGCTATTAGAAAATCACCCAAATATGCGGATAATCGCTAATTAACCCACAACTTTTCACGTAATTTCTCATCTTTTGGTTTCATATTTAATTAATAATTAACAGATATTAAGCGCTCCATTTTTTTGTTGTCGTTACCACCCTAATGTGAAATTAACTTACTTTAATAATTTATTACAGATATTTTCTGTTATCGAGGCCGGATTCAGAAATGAATGTATGCATGTATGTACCAGTGCATATATGTACGTACATATGTGTGTATACACACACACATACATATGCAGTACTGAATCCAGACCAGATAACAGAAAAGTACATTATTATAGTTAGCGAAAACTAGAATATGAATCACCATTAGTAACTGTTAAATTATCTGCTTTGCTGCCATCACATAATGTTCGTGAACTTTTGTTTCTTTCGTTTATGTTGTTTCGTTATTTTTGCCCCGTTCTCTTTTTTATTACTTTCACACATATTTTATCACAAATTTAAAATAGAAATACTAAGAAACAATTCGAACTGAATAAGATTCATCACATTAAAATAAAAATGTTAATTAACTTACAAGTAAAAAGAGAGAATTTTCTAAAAGAAAGAGTTATATATTTGAGTGGGATAAGTGCGGCGTCCAAAATTAGTTACTAAATTTTTACAAGAACGGATTCAGCAAATTCTAAAACACTATTACTTTTTTCTTTCTCATATAAACTTCTACTAAAAGCTTAATACGATGTTGAATTTGTAATAATCACATTCAGAATCACTCCCTTCTCTACACACTTACAAATCTATGCAGCCATTTCATTCTAAAGCTACTACAGCAGATAACAAGCAGCTAAATTGCCATTCTTCAATAACTTATTATCCTATGGTTTCGGTTTTACTTTAAGATACCTTAATTAATAAGTTAAGGTGATTAATACGTGCCTTTAATCATAATTTTTGTTAGCACTTTATATATATATATATTTATATATAATGTCATATAGCATTCATTCATTATTTACTTTTTCACTCATATCTATATTTATAAATATTATTATTAGAACAACATAATGTACGCATTTATTTCAATTATATTACAATTCTTAATTTCTTATTAAGCGTACGCTACATAGGGTTTATATTGGAACGCGTGTGGATTTTTTTCAAAAAGTATAGTAAATTTAATCTTATCTGCTGACGTAAAGCTCGTTGATAGGTCTAATTTTAAGGTCAACGATGGAGCTGTGGAAATGGCATCTGTAGTTTCACGGCCGTAGCTTTCCGGTGTTTGAATGCTGTCAGAATGTTGTTAATACTATTGCTCTTCGTTCTTCAATTTTTTTCCATTTTATGCGAACTTCCTCATCATAAATTTGAATATAAATACAGTTTTAAAGGACCTTACTTAGCTCAAAAAGATGGAACTGTTCCATTCTGGGAGCATTTTGGAAGTAAGTTTGTACTGATGTGATAGTTTACTTTTGCCTTGAGCATTGGTACACGTGGCTTTAAATGTCCGGATATGCTACCGCAGTTTTTAAACGATATTAATTTTATGATGAGAAAGAACTCCCAGTAGTCTAAGCAATTCCACTAGTTTTCTGTGGAAATGCGGAATTATTTTTGTTTTCTGTCTAATGAATGGAAAGTCTTGAAACATATGTTGTATCAAATTTTTTCCAAAGTAAATCTGCACAATGTTGTGTAATATTCTAATCTGTGTAAGATGCCTAAAATTTTATTGTAATGAATGTAAGTGTAATGTAACCATCTCTACCGCCGTATCTATATATGTATTTAATTAATGAAACGTTTTCTTACCTTTTTCCTACATTTATAATTTTCTTCTTGAAGAAATAGTAATTAACTTTACTGTATGCAAATCTTTTTATGTTTTTATTTTAATATGACAATAGAAAGAGTCTATAGAAAGGCTAGGATTTTGCTAACAAGATTTTTATTCAATTAATTTTTGAACTCTGATCACAGTTAGTATGAAAGTTTGCTAAAATTTACCTTTCCCATTTTCAAGAAAGCAGAATAAATGCTGTTTTTCTTGTTTTATTGCGTACATTTGTATGCCATTTACTTGACGTTGAAAATTTGATCCTTCCAAACTTCTGAATGTTATGTACATGAGACTGGATAGTATCACTTAAGTATTTTTTTAAAGTTCAATGCTTCCTCTTTATTGAGGTTTTTACTGTAACAAAAAATTATTTTTGTAACATTTCTATTTAATGAGGTATTTTAGCTTAATATTTTTATGAAATTGTTTTGATAAAATGACAAACAAAAGTTACATTTTACGTATATTTTAACATTAAATTTATGAAACCCTGACATTAAGTCTATTCAAATAATCATATACTTAGTTGCTTGCAGTCAGTTTGATACTTGTCCCTGATTATGTTTATGAATTTGAAACCGTGAAAAAATGTAATACTTTCAGATTATCCACACTCTCAACAAAATACAAACTTGCTGGTAACTTGTGAATAGTTAGAAAGCATATGCTTGGCTGTATTTATGGCTGAGAGGTATTGCTCAGTTCTGAAATAATAAAAAGAAGCATTTTATGAGAATAAAAATCTGTATAGCCAATATTTACACTTTCACAACCTGTAAAAAATGTACAGCATGTAAATCCTCATGCACCCAAACAGATGTGGTATGTATGTCACATACTCAGAAGCATCCTAGTTCTAACAAAAGTGGGAGATTGCATAATATGAAAGTACTAATTTATTATTATTTTGTCTTTACCAATATTATCAGTCAATCATAGAAAAATTAATGTTTGTAACATAATGTAGTTTATTACTTATCATGTAGAAAAACGTGCATTTTTCCTACTTTTTGTTAAATTTTTATTTTCATAATTAAAAATTATAGTGGCTATATTAGTACATATGTTTAGTTGCAGTGGTAATAATTTAAATAAATTTTAAAGTTAAAAAAATTAAAATTTCAAGTTTCAGTTTTGGTTTTTATATATTTTAATCGTAAATCTTTAATTTTTGCTCTTTACATTTTTTTTTTTTTTTTTTCTCCAGCACAGGTAAACATGAAATCATTCATCACTTTGAGCAAGCATTTCTTTGCTGCGACTTAGTTTTACCTTCTTGGTGATGCATATGCTAACTACTTATTTTTATTTTAGAGGTTAAGGAGAGATAAAATTGCTTTATTTCCATGAACCCATTGGCAGCACTGCATTTTTTGTCACCAAGATCACCAATGGTAGTGGTTTTAGCCGAATGCAGTCATGAAATAAAGCATCTTATGTTTTATTTTTATTTAAATTTTTTCATTGGCTTATCAAAATATAAATAAAAATTTTTAAGTTTTCAGTATTTTAGTCACAGTCATAAAAAATTAAGATAACTAGGTTTATTGCTGTTTTTCATGCAGATATTTTAGAACAATTTTCGATAAAAATATATTTATAGGTGCCCCTTGACGAAAATTGGTGGTACATGAACGCAGAGTTAGCGCAATTTTTTTTACTTGTTATTTTGGCTATGTGTAGCGACGATTTTTGCACCAAAAATCACCACTTCACAAAGCCAAAATAACAAGTCAAAGAATTGCACAAACTCGGTATCCATGTACACATCAACTTATTTTCACTTTAAAAAAAAAAATTGGAGAATTGCATTATACTGTCACTCTGTCAGTGGAAACTGTGAACATAATTACACTTATCTATTTTTGCATATAACATTTCGCATAAAGTACAGTCAAAAGTCTTTAATCCGGACTCGTCGGGACTTCGGCGATTCCGGATTATCGATTTTTCCGGATTATAGATCATCAGTTTAAATCTCGTAAGATGGCAGGCAGAAATTCTAAAATTAAAAATATGAAACCGTAATTTATGAAATAAAAAACAATTATGATCTAAAGGGTATCAAAATTTACAAAAAAAAGCTTAATATTTATTTTTTTACCTTATTAAACATTTCTTTCAATGTAAGTTGTTTAAGTTGCTTCGTTTTATGCGATTATACTTTCTTTTTAATTCTATAAACAGACATAATTTCTTGTTCAGTTACAAAGTTCTGTGTTCAAGTCCCGTTAATTGCTGTGCAGAAAATACCGACTAACTTGTCAATCGAAATTTTTTCGTTTTCACTAATCTCTCTGTCACATTCTTCATGTCTTTATCCATTTTTTGCTGCAATTCCACTTTTTGCTTGATGGACATGGAAACATACTTTTCGTTTTTGTACGATCCTTTGGGAGCTCCAAATCGGAAATTCTATTTGACATAATCGAAAGTTCAAGTTTACTTTTATAGTATTGCTCTTACAGTCTGCAAAAAATAATAAGCCGGATCCAATTCGAAAATGAAGGAACAACGCAATCATCAACATTAACTGAAATAGATAATTAGATAATTTTAGCTTTTACCATCCGTTAAACATAAAATGCGCAAACGAAAACGTATTCTGCGGTTGCGCACACGCATGTGCGCAGACGTAAAAGGTCTTACGTGCACGCGTAAATGCCTATGCGCATGTGCCAACGCACCGCATGCGCAGAAAGTTTTTAGCTTTGATGTCCGGATTATGGGTGTCCGAATTAACGACTTTTGACTGTATAATGAAATTTGGCAAGATGAAAAATGGTGATTATTTCTCCTTATGCACATGTGTTCTAAATTAATATATCGCCATTTTTGAGGATTCCAAGACTGCATTTGCCCATTTAAAATGTTATTCTTTTTCCCTTAAACATATATATTCGATTCCTGGTTAACAGCTATTTGTAATGTTTCTGATAGCTTTTATTTTATGTTGAATACAGTACATTTATTTGCTAATTTTAAAAGTTAATATTAGATTGTTTTAGGAAGTATGAGAAAATGAATAAATCGTATAATATTAGTTGCGAGATTTGATGTTTTTCATTTTATGTTTAATACAGTACATTTATTTGCTAATTTTAAAAGTTTTAATATTAGATTGTTTTAGGAAGTGTGGGAAAATGAATAAATTGTACAATATTAGTTGCGAGATTTAACACTTTAAGGGGTTATAGAATTGAATAAAAAATAATCTGAGGATGTAATCTATAAGATTGTCATAGTTCACTCTGCTCTTGTATCTACTGAAATTGAAAATCAATCAAAAATTTCCAACTTGCTAATTCTATCTAAAACAATGCTATTTGCTTAATGTGTTAAATTAACCCATAGTACATCAGAATAATTATTATTTATGGTAAATTTGTGTTAACATCATAAGAGAAATGTTAAAAAAAAATCAGTTTAGTCTTCAAAAGAAAAGAGATAAAAGATTGGCAACTAAACAAGGGCAGCTATATTTTTTCTGTAGTTAGTGGATATTCAGATGTGCTGAGAGAACTTAAATCATTTAAATGAGGGATGTTGTATTCAGAAACTTGCAAATCTGCATAATGAAGTTCATCAGCTAGGTTTGAGCATGACTTTCTTAAATGCAGTTGAAATTTTTTAGAAATCACCTGTTGATTGAATGTGGCATAGTTTCTTATTGTATTTAACAAAAGCTTCATATTTTGTGATGTATAATAGTCCTTGTTTCTAAACAACATGAATTAGTTTTCACATGACTAATAAATAGTCTCAAACCATTTGTCATTAGTTTTATTTCATAGACTATTAAACCATACATAATTCTTATCAGCATTTTTCTTCCCAAAATATAAAAGATTGCATTTTAAACATAATTATAAAATTAAAATTAGAAATCTGGTTTCATCCACTGTAGATGAAGTGAGTGAGACTACCGATTACTGCTAGTCAGTTTGGAAAGTAGGTAAAGCCAAATTTTACTGTCTTGTATTCATATTTTACATGGGTTTAAAGTCCTTCATGATAACATCCATCTAGTAATAGCCCTTTCGTGTTTTGCCATTATCAAATAATTAAACTTTACCAAGGCTTAAACTTGATAGATCATCAAAAACCAGCTTTCTTCATAGTTTTAAGTTAAAATTGTAATTCCACCTGAACACGAAATAAAATAGGCTGTAGTGTTTTAATTTATTATTTAAATTTTGTTTTTAATTTATCTATTTACTTACATTTTGTTAAATTTTAATTATTTATTTTTTATATATTTTGATTCACTTTTTCTACGAGTCTAGCACTACTGATTTTAGAAATGAAACCTTGCAAAAGATGTGTATAAATTAGTGTTTAAATCATTTTGCTTGTTTTCTAAAGCTTCTATTTACATGTAATTGTTGTATGATCTAAATTTTGTATGCTTAACATTAATTTCTATTTTGAACTATTTCAGATGCTATTGCTAGTGAAGAAATGGTGCGCATAACACCTTCACTTCGAAGCAAAAAAGGTAAACATTTCCAATATGTAAATTACTAATGCTATATTTATAGTTTTAACAATATTTTTACTGATTAACTAGTTAAACTGAAAATTATTATTGGTAGCAGTAAATTTGATGATTTTCTAAAAATATATTGTTGCGTGCGTACGGGTTCGTCACGAAATGAAATGCACAAGTCCGATGAAAAATGAACAAAATTTATTATTATCACAACAAATATGCTTAAATTTCCTCAAATTATCGTGCAGTATTACAATATCTCACAGTAGTTATCTTTTAACTACTTAAACGTTCAATAGAACTTAATTCAAAACAGCTAAAGGAAGCTAATCCACTACAGTCAACAAGAGCAGTTTTCTAAGCAAACTCTTAAAGCAACAACAAGCTAACTAAAATAACTGACTAACTGAATTGAGAGGTTTTCCTTCTTTTTATAAGATTTTTCAATCGCGCGCGAGAACTTTCTGGAACTTTCTCGAAATCAAAAAGAGAGATTTATTTATATTTAATGTTAAATGCACGTTCTCTTGTCTTTTAATTTTCTGGTTTATCTTTCCTTCAATATTCGTTAAGTGCTATACTGCACGGGGAATAAAACAATTTAATTTATAATTCAACTAGCATTAGCTATTTAAATACCAAATCCATAATAATATTAACAAATTTAGATGTTTTCACAATCCACAAATGCAAGTTGCATATTTTAGCCAAATATAGTACTGAATATACGAGGGCTATCCAGAAAGTAGATTACGTTTTGGAATAAAAAAATAAACAAAGTATAGGAAACAAATTTTATTATATACAGATGAAAGCCACACTCAAATACTACTTTTCTACATAGTCACCATAAAATTAAGGCATTTATGTAGCGATGTACGAGCTTGGAAATTCCTTCGTCGAAAAATTCGGGCCGCCTGCGCCTTCACCACTTCGTTACCTCTTCTTGCAGCTGTGCGTCATCATCAAAAACGCTGCATAGCCAGCCACTTCTCATTGCTGGGAATAGGTGGAAGTCCTCGGTGCGCGGCGAAATTTGTGGAAAACTCAAAGAAAGTTTCCGTATTGTGAAATTTCGATTTCACGGACTTTAGCATCGACTTTTCGAGAAGTTCGGCGGTTCCTATGCTGGGTCTCTCCCACTTCGATCTTCGTCGTGAACATTGGTTCGGCCATTTTGAAATCTTATGACCCCACTGACGCCACTCCACCTTCATGATAATGTTGTTCCCCATAACACTTCACGAAGCTGCCGATAGATTTTCTATCGGTTTACAGTTTTTTTTGCAGTCAGAAACCTTATTACTGAGCGCACCTCGCAGCTCTCGCGGGATTTCAATTAACGCAGACATTTCAAACCGTCACAGTATCTGAACGGAGCACAGCACGAACCTCTCACTAGCACGGCTAGATGCAGACTGAGCTGCGCAACGCTCTGACCCCAAGATGCCGCGCTAGCCCCCCGCCCTAGCGGACACAGACGGAAACGTAATCTACTTCCTGGATGGCCCTCGTATGTTGGTGAATCTTTACATTATGGTAACATTGCGATTTTTTGGCAAAAATGTGGCGACCAACCCTGCTACAGCAACCTGCTAGTTTTGTTTTGGACGCCATTTTGTTTTCACAAAGTAAAGGCGTTTTTTTTTTTTTTTTTTAAACTCAACATTTTTTCCAACAATCTGCTAGCCGAATTAGAACTTTAATTAGAACTTTTATGGAACAAAGATGAGGTGAGTAATTGGGAGAAAGTGCAGAATCGCAAACTCCTTGCTGGGTTTTTAAGAATTGCACATACACGATATCCATGTACATGTCGACCTATTTTCACTTAAGGAAAACATCCCAGAATTGCACAAAAATGCATTACGCACATGCTTGACTTTATCCATGTACACATCGACCCATTTTCACTTAAAAAATCAAGAAAATTACAAAATTTAATTCTTCTTATCTTGTAAAGCGCCAAACAAAAGTGCGCATTCTGCACTTTAGCAGCAAAATTATTTCTAAGTTCTTTATTAGCTAAATCACGATCGGAATTTTCCAGAAAATGTCACATTACATGTCTCATAATTTCTCATTTCTCCGAGACAAAATAATCTGATTCAAACTGTGTACTTCTCAGATTATTGCTAAAGTCCTAGCTAGTAACCTTTATCGCCTTACCAAAATGCCACCAAACTACCTGTTACCATATTCTAAAGATTAGCCTATATGTTTCACAAATGAAATGCTGATAATAGCCACTTTAAATATAAAATCACTTAACTATTTCAAATGTGATTTACAAAGGAAACTAGCTTGATTAATGTTATTGCAGAGTTAAGCAATTGTTCTGCAGAGTAAATATGCACACTTGCAAAGCTATAGTAAGCCTTAGTGTTGCATTTACTGTTATATTAACTTAGAGATTGTATTATTACATATACAGTAAAAGTCTGGCCTTAAACTGATCAAAAAGCTTGAGTAATCTGAAGAAATATTTTGAAATTTTATAAACTTTTTTCCTTCATGAAGTATTTAACAAATGACAGATGTTGTAAAACTATCAAATCGCATATAGGACTACAACTTGGAACAAAAAAAGTTGCTAATCTTTGGAATATGGTAACAGGTAGTTTGGCGACATTTTTGGTAAGGCAATAAAGGTTACTAGCTAGGACTTTAGCAGTGTACATGGATTAAGGCAAGAGTGTGCGCAATGCCATTTTTGTGCAATTCTGGGATGTTTTTTTAAGTGAAAATAGGTCGACATGTACATGGATGATACCGTGTATATGCAATTCTTAAAAACGTGGCAAGCAGTGGGTGATTCTGCACTTTCTCCCAATTTCGCACCTAATCTTCATTATGATTTAAGCATTTTTGTTCCATAAAAGTTCTAGTATAAGCATAATTCGGCTAGCAGATTATTGGAAAAAGTGCTGAGTTAAGAAAAAAAAAATGCCTTTATTTCGTGAAAACAAAATGGTGTTCAAAACAAAACTAGCAGGGTTGGTTGCCAAATTTTGGCCAAAAAACTGCCAAGTTACCAT